AACTCTTAACTATATAATTATTAATAAAGATAAAAACAAGACCTCACCTTGACCACAAGGTCAAAATTAAAAAAAAATAAAAATAAAAATAAAAATACAGAACAATATATAATATGTGACAAGAACAATCTTGAAGAGAAATTTTACAAACTGATACTAGATCTTTTATCAAAAGTAATAAAAAGTTAAGCTACTCTAAGTTTAAAAGCAGAACTCAAATTAAATGATCAACTATATAAACAATATTATAATAAACTAATAATATTCGATAGAAGTTCTTCAAGTCTATATAAAAAATGAAATATGTAACAAATTTAGTTTGTAATTCTAATAAAAGTATACTAAAAGCAAAAATACTAATGAAACTAATAAATATTTCAATATTAATTATTGTTATCAAAGTAGTTTATATATACCTGAAGATAAAAAGAAAGTATTTAAATAATACTTGAAATCTGCTAGATATAAAAATTCTGCTAAATAATTAAATATTAGATATTGTTATCAAAAGGGAATAGGCATTTCAAAAGATAGCTAAAAGGCATTTGAATGATATTTGAAATCTGCTAGAAGTAAAAATTCTAATAGACAATTAAGTATTAGAAGTTATTATCAAAATAGAATAGATATTTTTAAAGATGAGAAAAAGATATTTAATTAGTACTTAAAATCTGCTAAAGGTGAAAATTCTAATAGAAAACTAAATATTAGATATTGTTATCAAAATAGTATAGATATTTGTAAAGATAAAAAAAAAGTATTTGAATGATATATAAAATCTACTAGTGATAAATACTTTGATAAACAATCATATATAATATTTAATAAAAACAACATTAAAAAATGACCTTTTTTACATGTGCAAATAATAACAGAGCAACATAAATAATTTGTTGCTTTCAGTTAAGATTTAGCAAAAAGACTTTCAGTATTAATTATATAATATCATTTGGTTACAAACAATAAGTAGTTTGCTATTTACTTTTTTTTTTTGTTATTAAAACAGCTTATATTGCTGAAAGAATTTTATTAGAATTGCATACAGGATATCTATTAATAGTCCCTACTATTTGTAATTATATGAAAAGTGTACAACAAGCTACACATACAACTTTAGTCATTGTCTATTTTAAGTAGTCTGCTGCACAGGTGATTAGACTACCTAATTAGTTCTATACTATACTGCTATATCTGTAATCTGCTTGTGAGTTACCTATTTAAATACTCTGTTCATTAACTTATACAGATCTAACCTAATGTCACAACAATACCTAACTGTCTAAGCTAGCTAGCTTATTACAGATCTATTTATTCAAAACAGCTTACTTTAACTCTAAAGATAATGAAATGAAATCTTTTTATTGTTTTATCATTATTAGCTAATTATATACTAATAATGATTACCACTAGTTATTTAAAGTTAAATTCTTAAATATATATTTGAATTAGAAATATATAACTAAATTATATATTTAATAATAACAAAGTAAATTTAACTTAAAATTTATATACTTTTAAAAATATATTTTAGTAGCTATTTTTATATAATTTCTAGTTATAGATATACAATTTTTTATAAAGTATTCTAGAAATAGAATACTACTTCTTTGTTTTTTTCTTTATACTATACTATAAAATGTTTTTTATATATTGTATATTTTTTTTTGTAGTTTTATTATATGATATCTAGTCTTAGTATCTATTATTATATATAATTTTTATTTTTTTTATATCTTTTTGCTATACAAAAAACTATTATTAGTTTAGTAATAATCTATTATATAAGTAAGAGTTATAATAGACTATAGTATTTGCTCAAATTATTAATATTTTTTAAAAAAATTAAATATTAGTAAGAAGAAAAAAGATTACTATAGTAGATTACATATAGATACCTATAGATAACTAAGTAAGTCAATATTTAAAAAATTGTAAATTAGATATATAGAGTACAAATTACTTTATAACTATATATTTTAATTTGTCTTAATTAATTTTAAGACTTAATACAAATAAAATATCAGTATAACTAGCTGAAAAGTTAAAAAAAAATTTATTTATAAAGTTTAATTATCTTAGTATAATAATTAGATTATTAGATTACTATATAATAGATCTGAAGTTCAAATCTCATTATCAATAAATTTAAATAATTTCTTAAACTTTATAATATATTATAATAAACTCTGTTTATTTCTAGAAACATATTCTTGTAAATTAAATTATATCAAATTGATCTAAAATTGAAAATATAACATAATATTACATAAATAAATCTTAATAAAATATACAAACAAAAGAACCTATATAATAAAAATCCTGAATTGATAATATAATATAACCTTTCTACAGATTATACTAGTTAAAATCTGATTCAGAAAAAAAACTCTGTCTAATAAAAGTAAAAAGTTTCAAGATCACCAGGCAAAGAGTAACTGGTAGCTAGCTAAATACTAAAAAAAAACTAGGTTGACTAACTAGCACTACTTTTCAGTTTTACAACAATATTTTTTTTTATGTATGCAATTTTCATATATATAATTAGTTTAGATTTTTATAGTTGCAATTTAACAGGTTATTGGCGCTACTGGAATTGAATAACTTGAGGCTTTATTTCGATTTAATTTAATTTGTTTGATATAAATTTTATTCGAAAAAAAATTTATATCGAAAAATATATATTTGATTAAATTTATGAATCGAATCAGCTGGCTTATCGGAATCAATAAAATAAAGTTAATAGTAGTTTATGATCAGAATCGAATCAGCTAGCTCTCGGAATTGAATCAGCAAGGTTGCACTCTATATTTTCTGGAACACAATAATGTAAATAAATAACGAATTATGTATGTTTATTTTTTTACAATAATTTTTTTTATATACTCAAATATACAGCACAATGACTAAATGTGCTAGAATAAAAATGAATATAATTTAAAAATAAATAAATTTTGAATGAAATGCAATATATTTTGACGACATTCAAAAAAGAAAATAAGAAAAAAAAATCTATTTCACCCTAAAAAAAAAAAAAAAAAAAAAGTAATAACTAAATATTTATTAAAAAGCTAAACTAGAAAAAGCCCAGCATATTTAGTTTAGTTTGATAAGAATCAAATTATATAAATATAAAGACTATTTTTTTTTTCTTTTTTTTACATTTGAAAATGATTTGATTAAAAAATGTACATAGATATGTGATGCATGATATAATAAAAAAAAAAAAAGATCTATAAAAAAAATCTTAGTTTATTGAGATTGATAATGAAAATGTTTTTCATTTTATTTTGAATTATCCACCCTTCAAAGTTTTTTTTTTGAAATATTTGATATCATCCCAATAAGAAATTAACCATAGGTATAGTAAGGTGTAGTAAGGTATAGTGAATGTTCTTAAATTTGTCCCTAGAATAATCATTCCAAATCTATTTACTCGTCATCTTTTAAATGACAAGACCAATGATTAGTGCTGATAAAGCATAGAAATCTCGAAAACGAATGTATTATTGAAATTGCCTTAGAAACACATAAATTTGTTTCTCTTGGCAACAAGTTTCTCCATTTGGTTCTCAATTGCTATTCGTGCTTTTTCAGCCTTTTCCTTGGCTTTGCGTTCTTCCTCAAGTACACCCTCCATAACTTTCTTTTCTTCTCGTACAGTTGATTTAGCTTGTTCTACTTGTTGTTGAGCGTCATCTAACTGTGATCTTAGATTCTTGATCTGTTCAAGAAACTCTTGTTTTTCACGTTGTAATATGGATAATTGTTTTTTGGCTACACGTAGATTTGTTTCGCTATCATTGAGTGAGGACTCTAATTGTTCAACAAGTTGATTATTTTGTGAATTTTCATTCTCCATCTTTGCAATTTTCTTTTGCAATTTTTGTATTTCCAGTGCAAGATCTGATGATGCACTGGAATCAGATCTATGCCTTGAACCATCTGAATCTGATTTAGGCGATAATGGCGAACGTGATGTTGGAAAGCTTGGTGTTGATGGTGGTGAGATAGGACTTTGAGGTACAATTTGCTTTGGAGGCGGTGGTGGTGGATGATTTGGTGGAGGTGTAGGTGGAGGTGGATTTACATTATTTCCAGTGAGCGGTCGCAAACTTTTCTTTGTTTCTAATGATGAATTTGATGACATTGATGAAGAAGAGTTACGTGTCTCGGAGTTTGAATCTTGTAATAATTTGCGTGATTCTTCGAGTTCTGCAATCTTTTCTTGTAAAGATTTGATAACATTCTTCTGCTGCGCAATAGTATCTTCCTGGTGCGTGAGCTTGGATTGTTCACGTGAATTTATATTATCACTATCAGATGACATATCATTAGAAGATCTGGGGCTCATCTTGATTTCTTTCTCAAGCTGATCATTAATATCTAAAAGCCTAGAGATTTCTTTCTCCATTTCTTTTGAATCATCTAAAGTTTGTTTCTTTAAATCGGAAATTTCCCTTTCCAAATTAACAATCTGTTCATTTAATTCAGCAATTTGAGTTGCTGCCTTATTTTCTACAGTATTCACTGATCGTAATTGTTGCATTAAGAATTCAATTTTCTGATCAAGTTTTCCACGTTCATCAAAGAGTGCCTCATTAGCTTCTTCTAATCCGCTCTTTTCTATTTCAAGTTCTTTTATTTTATTTTTTAATACTTTAATGAATTCTTGATCTCTCGATCCAAGTCGTTCAAGTTCATCTTCTAAGGATTTGACTTTATCAGTTAGCACTTGCGTTTGTTCCTCTGCTTCAAGGATCTTGGAATTCAAGTTATCATTTGACTGGCGTAATTGTTCATTAACAGCAGCAAGTTTAACAAGTGATGGGTTTGAATGACCGGATCCATCAAAGTCTTCAGGATAATTCTTTTTTGCTTCCAGTAAAGCATTTTCCAATTCAGAAATACGACCTTTTTGTTGTTTAGATAATTCATCAGCATCTTCAAATTTGGATGCAGCTTCTGCAAATTCTTCAGCCAAAGTTTCGAGATCTTTTTGTAATTGCTCAACTTGGTCTTCAAGATCTTCATTACGTTCACATTGTATTTTCTTTTCTGATTCAAGTTGTTTAGTAGTTTTCTCCAATTCAATAACACGATCTTGTTGTTCTTGGACTTGATTGAGAGCTTTTTTGAGTTGGCTATTAAGCTCTTCAACTATATTATTATCAATGTTCTCATAACTCTGAATGACAGAATCACGGTGAGCATTACCAATTTCTTCTTGTAATAGAGCACATCTTTCTTGTAGAGATGAAATTTCTTCCTCGGCTTGTTTTAGTTTAGAGATTTCTTGTTGATGACGATTTTGAACTTCTTGAAGTTTACTTTCTAAACTTTTGATATGTTGAACGTGTTTGGCTTCATAAGATTTAAATTTATTGAGTTCAGCTTCTGATGCTTCAAGTTCTGCAGCAAAAGAATTAACCTGCATCTTTGTTGCTTCAGCAAGTTTGACTTCAAGTAATTTTATTCGTCCAGTAGCCTCTGATTCTGACACTTTTACGGACTGTAACTCACTTTGAGTATTTTGTATCAACATTTCTAATTCACCAATAAGTTTATCTTGATTATTTAGATGATTTTCTTTTTCTAATAAATTGTTTGTTGCTTCTTTAAATTTAACTTCTAATTCTTTAATCACATTGGTTCTTTTCTCATCAGAATCTCTTGCTTCTTTTAACTGTAACCGAACGACCGAAAGTTTCTCTTCAAGATTAGCAATGGTTTCCTTGTTAACCTTGGAAGAATCCTTTGCCATGACCAATTCAGTCTCTAAATTCACTAAAGTGGCTTCGAGTTCCTCAATAGCATCTTTTTGATTAGATTCCCTTTCTTTAAGAATTTCCGTCAATTCATTTACACGTTTAACATTTTCATTTCGTTCCTTTTCAATAAGATTCATTTGATTTTCAAGTTCGACAATAAATTCATTTTGAGCTGCCATCTCAAGTTTAACATTAGTTAATTCTTCACGTAAACCTGCCATATTTTCATTACCAGAAACTCCTGCAAGTTTATAAGTATCAACTTCAATTTCCAAAGTTTTGACGCGTCTTTGTGCATCATCTCGTTGTTTCTGAGTATCATTTAATAACGTCGTTATTTTCTCTAGTTCTTCTGATGATGAATTGGTATTCTCTTTGGCAAATGCTAAATCCTGTCTGAGTGTTTTTAATTCTTCCTCTAAAGAAACTACAAGTTCTTTTTGAAGACTAAAACCTCCTTTCATCGATTGAAGTTCTTTGATAGCTACCTCTTTTGAATTTCTAATTTTACGAAGTTGTGATTGAAGTTGTTCAATTGTTGATTTCTGTTCAATTTCTAATTCCTTCAAGAATGCAACTTCTTCTTTGACCGTTTCAAAAACTTTTATTTCTTTTTGAGCAGAGATATATTTGGATTCTAAATCTTGAACCATTCTTCGCAAATCAGCTTCTGATGCTTTTAATCCGGCAATTTGATCTCTTAAAATAGAAATATTTGGATCTTCTTCTTTGATAAGTTCTAATCGACCTTCAAGATTTTCGATATGTTTACGTTGTTCACGTTCAAGTCCGCGTAAACTTTCAATTTCTTCTTTTAATAGTTTAACTTGGTTTGAATCTTTATTGACCGATTCATTTAACTGAAATTCTAAATCTTTCATTTTCTTAATTTGTTCGGCTTCTTTGGCTTTTAATCCAGTAATCTCACGTCTAAGAGTCGCTAATTGAGATCTCTCTTCAGCTTTTTTGAGTTTAATTTCCAAGTTTTCGATGGTACGCTTTTGCGCAGATTCAGATTCTTTTGCAATTGCTAATTCGGTTCTTATTTTAACAAAATCTTCATCAACTTGTCCACCTTGTTCAGAAAGTCTTCCTTCCAAAATTATAATTCTTTCCCTTTGGGCAATTTCAACAACACGTAAATGTTCTAATTGTTCTTGTAAATGAGATTCCTCTTGGTCTGAACCTAATCTTACTTTGAGAACATGAAGTCTATCCAATGTGACTGCTTCCCTTGCTCGAACATCTTTAAGTTCTTTTCGTAAAATTTCTAACTCTGTTTGAAGAACTTTATTCACATCTTCACCATTTTCTAACTTGTTTAACCGTGTTTTAAGTTTGTTCATTTCATTTTCAAGTTCAGTTTCTTGTTTGTGAACATCCATTAATTTTGATCTGAATGCTAATGCTTCAGCCTCCTTTTCTTTTAATCTTTGTTGAAGATTTGCTTTATCAGCAAGATCTCGTTTAAGTATTTCAATGAGTTCATATTTGTGGTGAATGTCCAATTTAAGTGTTTCAAGTTGTTCCTGAAGTGAAGAAACAATTTCTTTTTCACTTTGTAAATTGGTCATGGTTTCTGATTTAATAGCAAGCTCTTGTTTTAATACAGCGAGTTTCTCTTCAAGACCACCAACAGCTTCGTAAGTTGGATCAACACCATTAAATATAGAAGTTCGTGGAGTAGGTACATTCGGAATTTCTTTAGCTTTAATTAATTGTTCTTCAAGAGATTGAATTTTCTTTTCTAATGTATCAGCATGTTTATCAGAAAAGTCATATTCTTCTTCTTCTTCCGAAATTGTGGTCAATTTATTATTTTTTTCTTCCGTAATAAGTCGATAAGCTTCTTTAGATTCTTGAAGTTCATCCTCAAGTTTTCGAATGTTATTTTGATTTTCAACTGATGGATATAATAATGCAGCTATAGTATGACTTTTTGATTCAATTTCTCCTTGAAGTTTATCAACTTGTTGTCGTAATTCCAATACTTCGTTATTTACATCAGATATACCTTCAAGACGAGCTGTTGTTTCATTAATATTAATTTGCTTTTGAATTTCTCTTTTAATATTAAATTGATCCTCTAATTCTTTAATCTTTGATTGTAAAGTTAGAATCTCATTTTCATTACCATTATTATCAATAAGACGTTGCACGTGAGCCTTAAGTTTGGTGATATCAGTCTCAAGTTTCGTTAGATCATCATTTTTTTCTTCTTTTTCATTTTTAGCAATTATTTCTAAATTTCTTCTTTGTTCTTCTTTAAGTTGTTCAACTTCTTCTCTAAGACGATGAACAATATCTAATTGATCTATTTCACTAGTAGCAGCAGAATAACCAGATTCAGTATAAGCGTATTCAGAAGTCATAACTGACATGACTTCAATTTGAGCTAAAGCATCACGCCTTTTTATTTCTTCACGAAGTTCTTCAACAATTTCAAGAGTTTCAAGATGATTAACTTCTAAACGTGCAAATTCTTTTTTAACAGCATCTAAACCTTCAGCTTTATCTTTATGTAAAGATTCTAATTGTTTAAGTTCAATTTGAAGTTTTTGAATCATTGCCATACTTGAAAGTTCACGTTTTTCAGCACCTTGAATTTCAGCAGAAAGTGATCTTGATTTACGATGAGCACCAGAAGAATGAGGTGATAAAGAATTTGGATCATAAGTAGAATCAGATTGTTTTGTGGTAGGTGTAGTTGAATCATCAATATCAATAACTTCAAAATGTAATACTTTGGTATCTTGAAGTTGTGCTTGAAGTTCTTCAATTTCTCCAAGACATGATTGATATCTTTCTTTAATTTCAGTAAATTCCGAGACAGTCTTTTCATGAGTTTTTTGTAATTCGTAAAGTTTTGATTCAAGATTTATTACAATTGAATAATCACCAGCAGTAGGCATTGGAGTATTTGAACTTGGAGGAGTAGAAAACGGAGTATCAACATCAGAAGAAGAAGAAGTTGAAGAAGAACGATGATGATGTTTACGACGAGGAACTTTATTAACATCAACTTTAAGTTTTTTAAATTGAGCAATTTCAGTAATAAGATCATCAACTTTTTTCTCAAGTTGAGCAATTCTACGATCTCTATCTTCAATTTCAGCCATTAATAAATTTTGTTGTTGTTCATCTTCAGCTTTTTCTTTTTTATATTTTAATTCTAATTTTGAATAAGCATCTTCTCTTTCCATTAAAGCTTTTTCTAAATGTTGAGCAGTTTCATTCATTATTTCAGATTTACCTTCACTTCTTGCTAAACGAGTTTCTAATTTTTGAATAATTCCTTCA